TAAGAATGATAAAACAAGGATGGTAGCTACAAGTGAGAATGATAAAACAGTATGGTAGCTACAAGTGAGAATGATAAAACAGTATGGTAGCTACAAGTGAGAATGATAAAACAGTAAAGTAGCTACAATGGGAATGATAAAACAGTATGGTAGCTACAAGTAAGAATGATAAAACAAGGAGGTAGCTACAAGTGAGAATGATAAAACAGTATGGTAGCTACAAGTAAGAATGATAAAACAATGAGGTAGCTAAAGTAGGAATGATAAAACAAGGAGGTAGCTAAAGTAGGAATGATAAAACAAGGATGTAGCTACAAATGGGAATGATAAAGGAAGAAGGTAGGTAAAGTAAGAATGATAAAACAATAAAGTAGCTACAAATAGGAACGAAAAGGAGGTATCTAACAAATGAGGATGATAAAATAAAGAGGTATGGGGTTAATGAAGACATAATGATAAGTTACTTCCAAGTGAGTACAGGATAGTAGAAAGCAGGTGAGGAAAGATGGGACAAAAATAACTGATAAGTAACAACAGGACTGCAAGGAGCTTATTAATACAAAGAGGGTACTAAAAATGGGTGAGTAAGGTGACTAACTAATAAAGTAGTATAGCTAAGAGTTTATTTTTGTGGTCTAAAAGCTATTAACTGTCTAGGTACTAAAATGCTTTTGGAGTAATAGCATTAATATATTTTCTTGTTCTATCTTTATCTTAAACCATTACCTTATAATATGGATTGTCACGCAGAGCTTTCTGTAGAAGTTTTGATGTATCATCTCTCTCTTCATCAGTTGCCCTATGTTTTGAGGTTCTCATTGAGGCTCTGAGTGCTGATAATGTATGACGTCTCTTGCTAAATGACGGCTGAGATGAAGTAGATTCAGGCACTTGATCTATTTTAAAAGTTATCTTTTCTAAAGAGAAGAAAATACATGTAAATATACAATGTGTAACTGTTCTAAAGAATAACAATCTCCCTTTTCTATACATAAAAGTTATAACTTGCTATAACATTATGTATAATTTTGATCATTATTTAGGTAATATACAGTACAAAATAAAAAAAATTTAGTTTAATTTCCTTGTCAATAAAGATGTAATATTTTTACAATACTTGTTTTGACTAAAATCATGAGATGTTCCTACTTGGTGTTGATATTGTTCTATTGATACTTTGGATAATATATAAAGCATATTGTTTTTTTTCTATCATGTTAAAATTTTGATTTGAAGTATTTTAGTAACAATACAATACTTTACTGAATGTAAAACAATGTTAAATAACCAAGTTTTATTTAAAGTTTTGTTATTAAATGCATTGTAACACCTCATCTTTCAATAAAATCATGAAAGACCACAATAACATAATTTATTTAAAACTGTGGACATACTGATCTAGGAATGAAGTTAAGAAACAAACACTTCATCTTCATTTATATGACTCTTTTAGAGTTGTTTTCATTTCCATATTCTAAAACTGGGGGCACAATCATATTTTTTTGGGGAGGATGAGAAGCTTGTTTGTGTAAAGTTAAGCACAAAGCCACACAGTGGACTATCTGCGCTCTGCCCACCACGGGTATTGAAATCCGGTTTCTAGCATTATAAGTCAGCAGATGTGCCACTGGGAGACAGGATGAGAAACATCAGGAAAACATTTAGTCTTTCATTTTTTGTGAAATGTATGGTTTGGTAACTGAAAATTTGTCTTTTTTCTTAGTAATAAATATTAAATCATTAAAAACACCTGATTTTGGAGAACATTTAGACTCTTCATCTTCATCACTGGTAATAAAAATATTGTCTAAAGGTGCAGCCAAATCATCATCTGTATTTCTAAAATATACAGAAAAAATGTTAACTTTATAAACATGTAATAAATAACACTTAAAAATCAGCATTTTAAACTATATATAATTATAAATGTTCCTAAATTCATCCATTATTAAAAAGCATTTAATAAAAGGTTTTATTAAATTTTTACTTTTACTTGTACAAAAAATGAAGTTTTATGTAATTTTATAACTGCTTGAAATTAGTTAAACTTTAAATTAAAACATTTATTCAAAAATATAAAAATAGAAAATTTCATTAGCATATATAAATATATATATATGTACAATGTTTAGATATGTGTAAGTTTGAGAAAAGGCCCTGATTAGATCATTAAAAATGTCTTTATTCTGTCAAGTTTAAAAAAGTCAACATTTAACATACTCGTGAAGAAGTAATGGCTTATTATCTTCTATAGCTGTAGCTGGCCCATAAAGATGTGCAAAATGATCCCTGAAAAGAATGAAGATAATTAATGATAATTTAGTCATTATAAACTGTTCAAACACAACTTGCATAGTCAGAAAAATATGTTTAAGTTTGACTGAAAAATAAGGACTGTTTGTGAAAAGCTACAGCTCCGTTACTTTTCTGCTTTGAGCATCCTTAAGTTTAATTTTTTTCTCCATTTACTCCCATTCTCTCCCCTAATATGAATGCACATTTTCACTAAATTTATACCAATGCCCATAACAGAGAGATGAAAGGATATATTGTAGATATTGCATAGACCTTCAGTCATGAAACAGCGTTTCACAGTTTCATTCTCATCCTTTTTCTTCCATCATGCAAACTGAGAAAATATATAGACCGAAAATCGATCAATTTTCTCACCAATGTAACCAACCGTCTGAAACATTTAGTCACACAGGGTATTTCATGGTTATTGTAAAACATCCCATTCACCTCCTTCTCCCTCTTACGCTGTAAAATTTGCTGTTACTTTTATTAGCGATGAATATATGTTTACTGTGTTTAATATACAAAACAAGTTTTGTTTTTATAATCTAACACTTGATTTGTTGATAATGTTGAGTTTGCAAATTATGTGATACCTGGTATCTTAAATTTACTTATCACGCAAATTTTAGTGTTTTACGTTTGTTGATTTACATCTGTTGAAATGTAACAATTAACATTTTAAACTGTGTTTATTATTTGTACACCCGGTGGCGTCAATGTGCTTATCGTGTAAAACTTGGTGTTTTAAGTTAGTCGATAATGTTTTTGTTAGTATGTTAGATTTACCGGGTTCGTGAACTGGACTCAAAAATGGGTATCTGGCTCCTATACTATTCGAAGTATGTGGGATTCTTCCCGCTCTGTAAAGCATTTTTAAGTTCTTTAAGAAAAAAAGCTTGCTGGAGTAAACTATATTTAAAAATGCTTTTTAGTAGATTTTAAGAGAAAGATATATTTTTACACTTATTTTCTATAGACGACTAACAAGACAAGCTTTATATAACAAACAAACCTAAAACACAAGATTTTACGTGATAAATTTACTACAACAAATAGAGGCGTCACTGGGTGCTCATAAGATTCGGGGCTCTGGAAGTTCTTGCATTTCACTACGATATCGATCACGTAATATCACGACTCCCATAATAAGCAAACATACTATATCCCTCTAAATAAATAAATTATCCCTCTAGTATATTGTACCTAAAAACCTGTATAATTTTGTAGAGGGGTCCTATGGGGACTACAGTAGGACGGTTTCCATGTTGCAGAAGTGTGCGTTATTGCATCACGTCACATTTCTTGCGTCCCAGTAATAACACAATTTTTGATAATTTGAAATCGGCAAAAAAGTCGATATATTTTCCAAAGTATTTATCGTACGATGTCGTTTTTGATATCAAAACAAAGCGAATACATTGCCCCCTTATAATCTGCACGGAATTTAATGTTACTCTTAGAATATTTTCTTTTGTGAGTAAAAATCTTCATTTTTTTCTTGAAATTTAATTGCGGCTTTGATTTTTATCGTGGTCATCATACTCAGTATATTCACATCCACAACAGATATCCTCAAGTGTGATATTATCCCCATTCATTTTCCAACACATTAACACCAGACGTACAAACTGTTGATGTATATATATATATATAGCTGTCACTTGCATAAATTCAACATTACCCCCTTACTTTTTGTCGCTGACAATTTGTTAGTTACTGATATGTAGATTTTGTGGCTATATTAGGCATATATCGTTCACGTAATCCATACAAGTCTTTCATTTTCTATTGCCTATCATAGAATATTGCGATTTATTGTTAACCGATCACTTCTTTGCAGTTTGCACAATGTATACTTTCAACGAAACTTGTGCGGAAGAACGCCAGTCTCCAGCCTGTTGCAAATTTTAGGGCATATTGTGCTTGACACAAGTGATTTCAGATATTATATTTCATACTAACTGTAAAATTATCTTGTTTCAAGCCATAGTCAGTGGAAGACAGTTGTACCACACAGATTTTACTGCAATGATAAGTGATTTATTTTTATTATAGTGATATTTCTTTATTTTATTTCCGCGCATGGTAACCAAGCTGTCAAATCGGTCTTGTCGTGTATTACTGGTGATAGAAGTTGCTTTCTTCTCTGTGCTTTTAGAAGTAAGCTACTAATATTTCTTCAATATATTCCAAAGCTATCATGATGTCTAATACAGCTGACGAGACCATAGAACCCTAATAACCATGCCAGAGAAAAGTCGTAAGACTGAAACAAACTGGATGAATTGTATATTCTGTCAGTGAAAAGACGATTTATCAAGTGGAAGCTGGCATGGTTTTGTCAAGGTGTTCTTTGCTTTTAGTCACTGGAGCCTCTATGAGGAAACAGAAGCAATTACAAGGCTTAAACAAAGCATGACATCCACAGAATATTAGCGTTGAAACAACCAAAATGGCACAAATATTGTTATGTATCTTTTACAAGTAAAAAAAAACAAAAAACATTGAGTTAATAAAGAAGCGATATTTGCAAAGTACTGGTGACCATAAAGCAATCGAATCCACTTCACGTGCACATATAGTGACACGTACAGTCACACCTAAAGTTGATTTGATGCAGTGCGTATACTGACAGACTGGTAACTGTGAAAAGGTTCACCGGGTGATGTTGGATGATGTGTCAACAATCCACAAACATGCAACAAGAGACCAAACTCTAAAATGCAGAATCGGTCAAAATGACTTAATTACATATGAAGCTCACTATCATTCTTCATGCAAGAAATAAATACCACACCAATCTCTTTGTTAATTCTGAACAAAGTGAACAAGAGAAATTGGACACGCCTTTTCAGAGACTCCTACAAATACTGGTCAGGCTTTCAGTGTGGTCACATATATAGTGTGAACAAAATGAATGAAAAATACACGTCTCTCATGAAAGATTGTGGTACCACTGATCCATCATGCCATACGTATTTAATCAAACAAAAGTTGCACAAACATTACAGTGACAAAATTACACCCAGAAAGCAGAAACAAGTCAAACAGTCTTTGCACTTGATCCCTTCCAGTGCATCAACGAAAGGTGCTATTGATGTCTTAATCGAAAAGAAAGTGGAAACACGTGATGGTGATTACCTTGAACGTGATGAGATTAGCCACGAATCATTCTTTCTATGTTCACTTCATACGGTAGCATGTAAACTTAAATCCGATATAAAAGCATCCCCAGGCCATCAAGCCCCCCCAGTGGCACAGCGGTATGTCTGTGGACTTACAATGCTAGAATCCGGGTTTCGATACCCGTGGTGGGCAGAGTACAGAGAGCCCATTATGTAGCTTTGTGTTTAATTGCAAACAAATCCCAGGCCATCAAGGTTACGATAACTTGAACCTAGAAGCTGCAGAGTGATGCATTTCAAACATTCTATACTTACTCGTTAAGTGGATTCTACAAGATGACGAGGACCCACTTGATGCACAAAAAGAAAACTAAGATAACGAAAATGATCAAAATATTGATGAAGAAACCCATAGAAGGATTTTGAACATCGGACAAAACACTTTCTATAATATATCATTGGGATGCAAAAACACATTAAAGCATATTTGAAATGGACTCCATCACATGACCAGGTCCAAACAATTCGTTGATTGTCTTCATTTCACTGGCGATTCCATCAGTTACACTACTGTTAACAGAATCAACACATTTATAGCACAGACACAGCTATTACGGTTTCAACAAAAATGGAAAATTCATATAGTTTGCTGCAGATAATTTTGATATTCCAAAAGAGACCCTGGACAGCAAAGGCATGCTGCATGTCACGCAAATAACAGTCTTCTAGCGTGGTCCACTGTAATTGGGTGATCTCAATCACTACGTAATATTCCAGCAGAGTTACACAAAATTACTACTACCGATGCACTAACTCATCACATATCTCCACTATTTCCTGTCCACCATCCAAAGCAGCAGAATGCAAAAAAACTGATTTTCCTGGATTCCAGTCAAACAGCCGGAGACGTTCAAGAAGTTCCAGCCTGGACTGGTTTCAGTCGGTCACTATCGTGTTCCTCTAATTAAATAACCACGGTGGGTTACCTTCCAATAATTACAGCACCAGCACACGAACTGGACACTGTTATCACATTTCTTCTTCGATGTAAAGCAATTGGAACAAAAGAAGGTCAGGTCAACACAGTCATTACCCTTGTTCAAGATTTGTACCACAAGGCTAAGGAACTGATGTGTCTACATCCAGTGAAATTGAACAGTATTATAATACGACTGGGTTCCTTTCATACAACCAGGAACTACCCTAGCATAATCGTCACTTTGCACAGTCTGGGCTCACAGATTTATGGATTGAAGCTGGTGTATATAGTGAGTTTGTTGCAGAAAATCCACAGCTAATTCTGTCAGTGATCTGAATGTTGAGATGTTTCACTCTACCGATGAACCGTAAACAATGCCATCCACTCATGACGCATTGGAGTTGCACATCACAAGGAGCTATTATCAAGCCATGATTTGGATGAATGCTGGTCTCTCCCACCCCAGTCTTCCAGAACCAGAGGATAGTGGCTGGATTTGCAATACTGATCGTACTTTATGGCCACAGTTGATAACTCAAGAACCTATAACAGCTGTTTTTACTGAGCTTGTAAGACAGGGGTATACCTCCGGTGTACATGTAGAAAAAACAATCTCGCATGCAGTACTGGTTGTAGTTTGTGTATAGTTAAGCACAAAGCTACACAATGCGCTATCTGTATTCTGTCCTCCAAGGGTATCGAAACTCGGTTTCAAGCGTTCTAAGTCCGCAGACATACCGCTACGCCACTGGAGGGGCAGGTTGTAGTTGTAAGCGAGGATACCTAAATTATCAGGATCAAGAACCATCAAATGAAAGTAATTCCAATGACGTAATCTGTAAACTGCAGTGAACCAATGTGTTTATGGTGTTTTGGTCTGTTCAATTGTGAATACATGTGACCTAACACTAACATGTGCACATACTGTTTAATTCATATATCAAATTATTCTAAGGCCTTAAAGCCTAGTTGTTATGTTTGGAGGTAACTACAAGTGTGCATTTCAAAATTTTATGTTTGTGCTACGAAGTATATATACAAACGTCATAAACATGTAAATTAACGTAAATGTTTCATTATTGCAAATAATTTTGCCGATTAAAAATAAGGGGGTAATATTATGTTTGTGGATAATGGATTGCTATATTCATAAGAAATCATTGATTTTTTGGTATCATTTTTAGCATAATAAATTGGGAAAATTTTGATATACGTAACTGCATTGTGTGATATACGGTAATAAAGTAACGTGCAATATTATCAACGGTAAAAATCAAAGCCAAAATGAAATGTCCAGGTGGTTAGGGGTTCGAATCTCCTTCACCACAAACATGCCCGCCCTTTCAGCCGTGGTTGCGTTATAATGTGACGGTCAATCCCACTATTCGTTGGTAAAAGAGTAGCCCAAGAGTTGGCGGTAGGTGGTGATGAATAGTTGCCTTCCCTCTAGTCTTACACTACTAAATTAGGGACGGCTAGCGCAGATAGCCCTCGTGTAGCTTAGCGCGACATTCAAAACAAACAAACAAACAAAATGAAATTTCAAGGAAAAAATTAAGATTTTCAATCACAAAAGAAAATATTCCAAGAATAACGTTAAATTCAATTTAGACAGTTATGTAGCAATGTTTCCTCTTTAATTTGATACCAAAAACAACCTCTTACGATTAATACTTTGGTTGATAAATCGACTTCTGCCGATTGCAAATAATCGAAAATTGTTCTCGCCAGGACGCAGGAAATGTGCCATGACCCGGTAACGCACACGTCTCCAACATGATAACAGGCCTATTCTAGTCCCCATAGGACCCCTCTACAAAAATATATCTGTTTTTAGATATAGCACGTATTGGGTGCGTGAACGGGCTCGAAAAACAAGCCAGTTTTTCAGGTCTGGTTTTTGGTAAGGAAGATTAGTAGTAACATACTTTCTATTTTTACATTAAAGCAAAAAAGAAAAGTTATAATTACCTAAACATATTGGGGAAACAAGATTGTTAGTACTAGTAGTTAGTGCATCACAGATAAATTTTAAATTCATAAGCGTCGCGTATAAGTTCAAGTAAGTACTTAGATCTCATGAAAGACGAAATAATTGAAATGGTTGCAGCCCGATATTCCGAAGAGTCGTAGTTCTTTAGGGCCGATATTCCGAAAATTGAACTTAACAGACATGTAGGCCTAATAATGTTTGTTATATTACATAAACAGTAGTACGTATATAATATTATATTGGACACATAAGCCGGTAACATTTTGCGGTATAACTGAAATCATTCCAGAGACCTATGTTATTGTTACCTATATATGTCAAAATTCTCATAATAATATCATCATTATCATTATAGAAACAGGTTGAAAAAGTTGAATAACAATAATACGAGTAATGCAAACTTCAATACTTGTGGCAGGAGATTTTCGGAGTATCGATCTGTCCCCACTTAAATGCAGATATAGTTTTATATAAAAGTTGCTACCCTGGAAGTACTTTGTTAGTTTTATTCCCAGGAAGTAGATAAAAGTAAACGTATAAAACTTACGAAAGAACCATTTTTGTGTACACTCGAGTCAATGTGTTCTCAGATGTGCTTTGCTGGAGCCACTTCTTGAGGTATTTCTCGTCATAGTAATACAGAATTTGCTGAATAGACAAAAATATTATATATTAACTATATTAAAGATTAAATAAAATAGTAAATATTACTGATTGAATTCCATTTGCAAAATATACCAATAGTATTTATCGTTTTTGTAGTGCAGTTTTCTGTGGCGTTAGTACAAATATACCAAACAGTTTGTGTTAATTTTATGATATTCCTATAGAAACCTTTTTTTTTCCCCAGACATTTTAATTGTACCGCTACTTTTTCCGTCACGACTCGCTTTAATGCTGACGTAATAACGGATAATTATGCTTTATGGTTAATACTCTTTATATCAAATGTTACTTACGTTACCAGTACAACGGTGTAACAGATAACGGATGCTTTCAATCAGACTGAAATGGGCGTGGTTTTGTCACTTTAGCCGTCAGCGACAGGTTTGCATATCGCAGGTTACGGGGCTTGAAATATGATACCACTCAACATGCTCCGCACTTTATTTAAGTCGTGGGCGCGTTATAAGTGTGACAGTCAACCACACGATTCGGTTTCTGCAGCCAAACAAAGCTCTTATGGTGGCTGGTACTGCTGGTTGAATACCTTCTCCCAGGTTTATATTTCAAAATTTAAAAGCGGCTATACCTGAAACTTTAGGGTATCTGATCTAGTCACTAAACCCACGTAACATAAAATGTCATTTAGGTTGAAAATTCCAGCCCCAGTCTCACAAGGTGTGATAATAATTCTGTTAAATATTGTCTTTTATTTTGTTTTTTAATTATGTTTATAAGACGTTTTTGCACACTTTATTTTGCAATAAAATTATGAAATTGCGAATAAATATATTTCAAGGGTGTGAACAATCCTTACGTAGTAACATATTCAAGTCTTAGCGAAAGTGTCTGCTACTTTTGTTTATATTTTTTGGATTATCCAAATATTATCGCCAACTAAATTCCATTGTTTTCAGTAATATCTTATTGTGACAACCAAAGGCCTGACATGACCTAATTGTTAGGGCCTTCGATTTGAAATCTGCGGGTTCGAATCCCGTCAACGAACATGCTCGCCCCTTTCAGCCATGGGGCCGTTATTATGTGACGTCAATCCGTCTCTTCGTTGGTAAAAGATTAACTCAAGAGTAGGCGGTGGGTGGTGTTGACAACTGCCTTTCCTCTAGCCTGGTACTGCTAAATTAAGGACGGCTAGAACAGATAGCCTTCGAACAAACAGCTTTGCACGAAATTTTAAATCAAACAAACAAAGCGTTAAGCACGCATTTCAGCTACTCCAAAAAGAATATCTGCAAAGTTGCATGGGCTAACTAGTTTGCAGAGCGAAGAGGCCATTATTTCGTCGCCACTGGTGTTACCTTGTTATTACTGATTCAGTTTACAAGTGAAATACAAAATAGTTCACATTAAACTTTGAACTATTGTGATATCTGTTTTTTGTTTCTTGTAAAGGGTAGGCTGTTTTTAAGGGAACCAGGTGTTGTATTCAGTTACACTGATATCACTCAGAATAGTATCAAGTATTCGTTGAAACACGTGTTTCGAAAATACACTAATAATAAATTTGAATATGGATAACAAAAGAAATACCAATAAGCACAAGTGTACAAACAAGAGTACTTTTATTGATACTTAAGAGGCTGGTGTCTAATTCGAAGGTGGATTCTAGCTGGCTGCTGGATCTAAGCAAGAAAAAAAAAAGGTCTACACAGGACAAAGAGAATAATAATACAGAGATATTACGTCCGCAAGGACAATAATAATGACATATCACACTGTAAAGTATCTAGTGTGGTATCCCACAATCCTTAGATCACCTAAATCAAGGATCATTCCAAGTACACATATTCAAGGAAGATAAACTCAATTTCATATGCACAAATATCTGTATTACCCTCTGGTATGAACATGATTAATAAACAAGGCCAAGCAAGTATAAGTCCTATGGAAGTCGTGGTGGTCTGTAAACTTTTTGTAGCATAAGTTTACAACCTTCCCACATTAGACTTGCAAAGGTCTAACTACACACTGTACACCTGCACAAAGATTTGGAAAAAATTACTTGAAAATATAACTGAATAAAGATATATATTCTCAACTGGTTGTGAAAGGTTAAAATATGATCGTATTTACAAGCATCGTACAAATCCCCCTGAACGCCTCTACTTTTTTTTACAAATTTGCCTCGACATTATTTTATTATGTCTGGCTACAATCCGGAGTTAATGTCATAATCTTTAAGGTGCGCTACAAGATGTACAAGTAAACATTTGTAAGCGTAATATCGGAGTACCCTGTATTAAGAAACTCGCTTTTTGATTTGCCTATTTTTAAGTACTTATATCCGAACTGTATGCGTTCTTAGTATTATAGAATATAGCTGAGTAGCAAAATCAAGTACATGCAATTACTGAAACTGCAAATGAAATTACTTCGTTCATCTGTCGAATCCGTGAACTTACAACTGAGTGTATACACCTTCATGTACATGTAAATACACTATTTTCGAACTCTGCGGTTTCGTTGAGTATGTATGTTTTGAAACTGCACACGGAACCTAAACTCGTATATACAGCTAATGGTGTTCAGAGTTTGAGGTGTAATATTATTTATACTTTCTTGATGATAAGATTCTTTGAATTTCTAAGATATATATATATATATATATATATACTGAATAAGTAAAACAAACAAACAAAAAAAACATCGATTTACTGATTTCAGTGTCGTTCTTTAAAATTTAATAATTTATCACCAAAAAACATCGTACATTTTACAGAATTATCCTGAAAAGTAGTACACTTGGCTTTAGTAGGCTTAAGAACTTTAATGTACTGTAACTACTTGTTGAAAGAAATGGAGACGACGTTTCGGCTTTTTTTTTTTAAGGCAGTTGCATTTCATTAAAGTTATCAAACGTACTAACTATGGCTACTCTGCTTACTTAAAGTTCCACTGAAACAATGCTTGGCTATAAGTTTTAACTTCATACTCACATAATCACATGAAGCCCCAGTCCCGGACCACTCACCTTCCAGTAATTTTCGCTGTGGTGACCTGTGACCTCTTCTATTCCAGCCATTACATTGTTCACTACCTGTTCGGTTTGGGAAAAATGCATTTTAAATAGCAGAAGCAGAATAAATATATAAATGTAGTGTGTAACCAAAAAAAAAAAAGAAGATAAAAATACAGACATTACAATTACTATAACAACTACTTTTAGTCAGGGTGTTTCAAAGTGGTATCCCCCTTTCTTTCCAAAGGATACGACATACCATTGTTGAATCATGTAAATCTAAATATATCAAGACACATGGTAGTGTGTCGTGCGGCCAAAACAACCTTTAACAGGAGTGATAGTTTAGCGATTTTCCACCTTCTGTATCTCGGACTGTGGTAATCCAAACTATCATGTATTTTCAGTGGATGTGCTCTACTGGACTCTTACTACACATACCAAATTTCAAGGTTATCCATTCATGAGAGATATAACATCTCCAATTTTGATTGAGTTTCTTCCTTTTTTCTTTTTTGCACCAAAGTACGGAAACTTTATTTGATATAAAAACACACTTCACTTTTATGGATTTTTTTTCAAATTAAGTACACTGATATATCTTTCCAACCTACAATTAGGAGTCTCTCTGACGTTACTATAAAGGAAGCTATTAACACTGTTTTAGTGAGGAAAACTACTACCATATATTTTAAAGAATCTCTTTAGTTCTGTAAAGTAAAGGTCTGTTCTGAATAATAAGGCACTGATCGTAAGGATAATGTTGGTTACTATCGAGTGTCAATTTCTTATTTGATGTGGTTTGTTGGTGTGTATTGACAAGAAGTCATATCTAATCAAAAACACCCTTGGTATGAAGAAAAGGTGCGGTTAAAA